GTTTGATGTGATTCTCTTCGAGGTAATCCGTAAATGAGCCGAGAATATCTTTCAATTTGTTTCATGCGTTGAATCGGCATGGTTGAGTAGATACATTTCGAACAGTGAGCATATGTCCTTTCAGGTCTGGTTCGAAATGTGCATCCGATTCAGCTGCTCGTTTCTCAACCCCATCATAATTTTCGTGTTTCTTCCCATGATCGTATCACCAGTCGAAATGGTGCCATGCTTTAGATCCATTAAAAAACCTGGTGAGTGGACTACTGGATGGCTACACTCATCCAGCAAAATTAGTCAGGTGGTAAAAACGGAGATCCCCCGGATTATCAAACAAAAAATATAACTTAGAAGATTAAAAATAAATAAAATTAGTCTTAATTGTTTTGTTTCTTAAAAAAAATTGTTACGTTGTTATAGAAATTTTAACCATAACTTGGAAACGTCTAATATTCATAAAAATATAACTAGGTCAATATATCTTATATCTATATTTTTTTAGTCGTCTGGATCAATATACCTTATACTTTGATAAGTAGATCTCATTTGCTTTATTTCTATACAAATACAACAAGGTTAAACGAAAAAATAACAAGGCACACGAAAAAAAGAAAGCGAACCAAAATCCCAACGAAAAAGTTTTTCTATATTTATATTTGGAGAAGTGACCAAACCGCAAATTTTGTCTTGTTTCTATTTCCTCCCTTGCCGAAGAAGAAGACGGAAACTAATAACAACAAGGAAAGAGCAAAGATCAAAATTTCACCTGAGAAGTTTCCGTCGGCGAATCGTTAGTCTTAAGAAGACGAACAATTTTGATTTGATTCACGTCACATCTCTCTCCGAAGATTTCCGACTATGTCGTCGGAGGTGAAACAGCTGATCGTCGTTGCTGAAGGTACTGCCGCCTTGGGCCCTTATTGGCAGACCATCGTCTCCGACTATCTCGAGAAAATTATCAGGTTCTTCATCTTCTCTTCCTCGATATTGATTTCCCCCTTTTTCCTTCCAAGTTAGGGTTTCTGATCTTGAGCAATCAGGCGTTAATTTCAATCGGTAGATAGATCGAAACTTGTTTTTCTTCTGATGCGTGCGTGCGAAAAGCTTTTGCACTGGCTTTGTCTGCGTTAATTACTGTGTCTATCTGTTCATGTTCTTTGATTTTTGCTTTTGTGTACTACTTGCTTGCTTCTGTGTTTCTTATGGAACAATCACTTATGGGGTTCCTACATTCGTTTAGATTCTGTGTGAGGATATTGCTTTTGATAATAAGCATCCATAAAGCAATGTATTAGTAATTTCTTACTTCCATCACGTAGAATTGGTTATTAAGATGTTTAATTAAGTCTCAGAAACGCCAGGGAGAAGCATTCTCTTGAGAGAAAATGCTCTTAGCGGTGAATTATTTTCCCCTTTGTTTTCAGGCTATGATAGTCGAGGGAAGTAATAGTGATGATGTGTTTCAGAGTTGTTAAAGGATTTTGAATTTTCTGTATTCCTCTCTAGAAACAAGTAACAGTTTCCAGCTTGATGAATCCAAAGCATCTTATCTTTCTCCTTGTATATCGTTTACAGTCACTTACTCATTCTACATTATGTTCATATACTTGAACTGCGTTGCATGGAAGATTGATTTCCTGTTGTTAATTGAACTGTGGCACAATCATAGCTACTGAAACAATTGAGTTTTTTTAACACTAGGATTACAGAGTATGTACTCAATACTACTGTTCCATAATCGCCTGTAAAACTTGTGAATAAACATGGTGGCTATTCTTACTATTCGCTAAGCAAACTCTACCAGCAAGATTCCATATTATTGCATTTCTAGAGCTGGAGAATCTATCTTAATTAAGTGAGTGCACCAGAAGGAAAAAAGCTGACTTCTCTATCCTACACAAATTATTTTACAGTTATCCTCTCTTTGCCTGGCTAGGAACACCTCATAGCACAGTCAAAATAAGAAAACTACTCTTGACAGTGTCACCTGATGGTTGGTTGAGTAACAAAGATGTTGTATGTACTGGTATATTTCTATGGATTGGATTAGTCTTCTTGGTGGATATTGAGAACATAGATTACGTCAGT